TAGGTCAAATATCATACATATCTGAGAAGTGCACTAGCTGTATGACGCTGTTCGTCATGGCCACTGCCTCCAGTATGCCTCATTTCCACCACTAACTCAGCCCTCAACCATCTCCCCAGTGCCCCTCCCCAGAGCTCTCCAGGGAAGCATACACAGAGTCTGAGGCTGGCTGTACAGTGTTCCCCATAGTGTGAGGCTCAGTGGGGTCTAGAGAGAGAGACTGCAGGAAATGAGGGCTCAGGGCAGAAGATTGGAGCTACATCTACTTCTGGGATAAAAAGGGGGCATGGGGACTGAATTCACACTTTGGTAAAAAATGTATGACAGTTCTGCAACAATTGAGACCTCCTGACTTGTGAAAGCCAAAATGATTCTGTGCATATGAAACCATGTGTGACTCCTATTTCTTCAGAATCACAGGATGCTTGAGTTGAAAAGGACCTCGAAGGGTTTCAGCACACTGGGTCATACAGACACAAACAGGGGAGTGACAGAGCTAGTCAGACATTGCAGTGGTATACACCATTGCCCCCAGCTCTGGTGGCCTGCGCACTCCCCTGCTGACCTGTCTGTGCTACTCCACAGGCTTTATGAGCTGGCACCCAGGGCTTGTGAACCCAGTGACTGGAACAAACTCCATGATGAGTGAGCCCTGGTTTTGACCTCACTGCCCTGCATAGGCTCCGTCCTCATGGCCCTGTGGCTGGCCTGACCAGTCCTGCTCCTGACCACAGAATGAGGAGACCCCCCCCATGAGGGAGTGAGGCCAAGGAAACAGAGGCCTAGATAGAAACACAGAGAGAGGAGAAGGGAGAGAGGATGCAAGAAATTCAGAGCTCCCTGGAGACCTCGAAAGGTCTTGCAGGTACACATACACATACACATGCACAACCCACCACCATCCACTGCACACACCATACACACACATCCACATGCATGTACCGTACATACACCAAATTCAACACCCAACACCACACACTGCACGTACTGTGTATATACCACTCATACATCACACACACCACACACATACACCCATAGGCACACACCACACACATACACACATAGGCACACACCACACACATACACACATAGAACCCACAACGCACACATAACCTACACCACTCACGAAACATATTATACAAGCCACACACATGCACACACCATTCGATACATCACACTCCTCCACACACCACACACATACCTCACCCCTGCTCATGTACATAACCCCCATACCTTAATGCACACCACACACATGCACCATACATACCATACACACATGTCACATATACATACCAAATACCACATGCACACCACCCAAGCATGTGTGTGCACACACACACATATACATGAGCACAGAGATTAAGACTGAGGGAGCAGGGACACCTCTGCAGAGTGACAGAGATAAGATAGTGAAAACCCACCCAGACTGAATCCACTGACCCTGGGTGGGTGGGGAGACAGCTAATCAAACATAGAATGAACAAAATGAGACCCAAAGCCAGAACAAAGCTATATACATATTTACTTTTTGGCCCTAAATCAGTGGTTCCCAATGGAGGATGATCTTGCCAGCTGGGGGACTTCAGGCAATATCTACAGAAACTTTTGGTTGTCGCAACTGAGGACAGGGAGAGACAACTGTGGTCACCTGGTAAATGGAACCTAGGATACTACTAAGCATCAAGAGATGCCTGTACGACAGGCCCAGGCCTGAAAGAAGGGTTATTTGTTCCAGAATGAAGCGTCCAGTGATTGTGCCTGAAAGGCAGGATGCGTGTCCTAGGCTCCGAATCGGGGTGTGTCCCAGCTGCTCCTGCACCTGCACTGACACACATGGCTGAAGGCCTCTGGCCCCGCGGGGGGCTTTCAGTTGACTCCTGAGGACTTCACTGTTGCTTAGAGTTTGAGGCTCAGAAGCTCAGCTTGGGGCAGGCAGGACCGGCTAGAACAAGCTCCTCTTGTGCATCTTGGCCTGCTTTAGATCTGTCCAGGTGGATCCTCCCTCCCCCATGGGTCCTGCTCCCACCAGTTCTCCCCAAGGCATGATGGGAAACTGCCATAAGGTTGGCACAGACTAGATGTCAGCCACCCCTAGCCTGTGCACCTGCTGTTACAGAGGGGACCACTGAGCGGGATGGCGACTACCAGCACAAAAGTTTTCTCCCATTTGAAGTTTGGGCAAGTGATGTGAATGGGGTGTGAGGGCAAGACTCACAAGCTGAGGTCAGCCCCTGGGACAACCCTGCTAGGAGCACCAAGCTCCCTCCCACCCCCCAAACTCCCCATCCCGATGTCCGTGGCCTCCTACTGGTGGACACTCCTTAGCTCTGGGTTGCACAACTGATTCTTCTCCCGCAGTGGGCTTGGCACAGTAGTGGAATGGGCAGAGGGCCATGCCACTCTCAGGATGCTTTCTGTCCCCTGGGAACCTCAGTCCTGGGACTACATCCTTCACACGTGAGGCTGGGAGTTAATGGGGTGTCATTGGCCCTCGGGTAGTGCTGCCGCCACATGGCCCACTCCATTACTGACCCGAGTGCATGATGTGGGTCCCGAGGACCGAGAGAATGGTGCCACCAGAGCCTATACGCAGCAACTCGTACCTCCCTTTCTCTGCCTCCACCCCACTGTGAGTCCATTCTCAATTTCCTGTCATTGGTCATTGCAGCCGACCTGTGAGAAGGCAACTCGAGGGTGGAGTTGCAGGAGAAAAGGAGAGCTGGAAACCGACTCCTCTTCCTGTCCTCCCTGATCCCCAGCATGACACACCTCATTGCTCCATCCCTACCCCCACCAGGGACTAAGCTGGGGTCTTTTCCTGGAGCTGAGAAGCATAGAGGTGTGGGCAACAGGCAAACACTGGCTTAATGGGCCCAAAGGTCCCGGGGTCAAGGTTTGGATTCTAGCACTTTCCCCCCACCCAGACTGAACCCACTGACCCTGGGTGGGTGGGGAGGCAGCTAATCGAACTGCACTGTTTGCTCAGGGCTGTATGGGCTGGCCTTAGGTCCAACAGCAGGAACACAAGTCGCTTTCCATTTAAAGGTGGTTCTTCTATGCCCCACCCACAGAGACACCCCACCCTGCCTGCACCCAAGTACTCCCTTGTCCCTACACATGTGCTCTCATACACACACATACAGAGTCCATACAACATGTATGATACACACCACATAACATGCACACACACCATACCACATGTGCCACACACGGACACCGCAGACACTTAGCACACACTGTCATTACACACATACACATAATACTACACACAGCATGCACACTATGTATCAAACACTCAACACATACACACAAGCACACCAGAAACATACAGCACATGTTGCACCTCATGTACCATGCAGTCGTACATAGAACACACATGAATATCAAACACATAGGCACCTCACCTCCTCACCACCCCCACCATATATACCATGACATTCATCATATTCACACCAGACAGGCCATACCCAATATACGTACTCCACACACTCTATACACACTTTCCATATACACCAGACACCATAGACACATCATATACACACAGCACATACACACCACACACCACACATGCACACACACACACGCACATATACAGAGGCAACACACATGTGCACGCACACCATGCACACCTTATAGGCATCTCACATACACACATACTGCCATGGTTGCAACTTCCCACTCTCTGTATCTGAGACAGAAACAAAATATTACAAAGTTAGAGAGGGACCCCATGCCTGTGACTTTAAACACCCAGACACCTGCCCCAGGCTGGCAGGCCCTTGGCTGGCAGCAGGGCCTCCACTTCTCTCGGACAGTGAAGATAAACCAGAGGGTCTCCCTGGTGGCTCCCAGTAGCTCCTGTTGGCTTCTGCTGAGGCTCTCTGTGGCAGGATCAATGTGGCGGGGGGTCTCTGCAGCAGCATCCCTCGGTGTGGCGGGGAGTCTCTCACTTCTCTGGAGTGTGGGATGGAGCAGAAGGGAGGTGGGCTTCAGAATCTGGGTGGATTTGGACCTCGCCTCTGCCACTCTGTGACCTTGGATGGCTTATTTCATCACTTTGAGCTTCAGTTTTCTCTGTGGGAAAATGGGGACAATAATACCTGCCTCACAGGTTTGTTGTAAGTTTCTGTGGGAACACTCAATTAAAGGACCCAGCACCCGTAGTGGTGAATAAATGCGGCCTCTACCAGAAGCTTGCGGGATAAAATACTTGATGAAATCTGGAGCATTTTTATACTAACATTTTTTTTTCTTTGCTGATTATCTGAAATTCTAGCTTGCCAAGCATACTGTATTTTATCTGGCACCACATCCATTGAATGTATGTGGTGTTGGGGAGGGGTCTCCAGCACTTCAGAGCCCAATCTGCCCACAGTTAGGTTTTGGGCCTTGGCTAATGAGCCACGGGTGAATTTTACATCTTTAAAGGTGGAATCAAAACAGAACAAAAACCCACACCCCAAAATACACAAAACAAAGACGAATGTGCATCAGAGACTGTGCCAAACTGGGAAATCCTATACTATCTGGCCCTTCACAGCGTCAGCTTGTTAACCTGAAGTTGGTAAGAACCAAGAATCTTTGCTATTTTGATACCTATCCTAGGCCCTGCAAGAGGTTTAACCAGAAAAGTCAAGAAAACCTAAATCTCCAGAAAAAGGAGTCAAGGAGGCCCAGAGAAGGAGGGGAAGGGGACTGACACAAAAGGCGCTATAAGGAAGGGTGCTCCTTCCTGCAGCCCCTTGATCCTGGGAATGGATCTGGCCCTCCTCCTCCTCTCAGGTGAGGCTGACCTGTCCAGGCCTTCCCAAGACAGGTCACTGGGTGTCCCAAAGTCCAGGGGAGAGCTCTCTAATCTCTTTGAAGGCCTCCCCTGCAGTGACTGGCCTGGGGGCAGGGAGAGAGTCCCAGGGTGGAGAAAGAGAGGAACTGACGCAAGGCCCCCAGGTAGGCAGGACTGCGGGCCTGTCTCTTTAAATCTCAGGTAATTTGGGAGGAGAGAGGGAGTGTCCCTCCAGCTCACTCCCAGCAGGAGCTCCCGGCGGACCAGCCCGGCAGAATCCCAGCTCTGCCAAGAGTAACAAACTCGGAGCCCTCTGCAGACAGCTAGGCGGCCACAGGGAGCTTCCCAGGGCCTTGAAGGAGAAGTAGGAGACGGGACCTCTACAGGGAGAGGGCAGGCCGGCTCTTGGGGTTGCTGATGTGGCCCCAAGGCAGAGCCCAGTCGGGGTCTGGCCTCAGCCCCCCAAAGAGCAGTTTCTGCACTCCATGGGGTTGTCTCTGCCCAAGGAGAAGGGGTTAATTCTGTGCCTATGGAACAAGTTCTGCAGATGGCTCCACAGACAGGAGTCCTCGGCTCAAAGCCGAGATGAGCAGAACCTGCTGCAGCAGAAGAGGTAAGTCTCACTGTCTACTCCCCTTCCCAGCCCCAGGCTTGTACCCCCGTCAGCCCCCTTCACCCCCGTCTTAACTTGCCCCCGCTCCCCGGCTGCGCAGATGGTGCTCCACGGCCTGAACCGGCTCCTTGGGCGCACCTTGTCTCTAGAGTCTTGGCCTGTGGGGCTCCCTGTCTGGATGCCAGGTCACAGAGGAGTGGCTACAGGGCGCAGGTGTCCATTATCTTCACCATCTCCTTCAATCCCAGAGCCTTTAGTCAGTGCCTCCCTAATGGACAAGGGACTTCCCTGGGCCTTGTAGGCATGGTGCACAGGCCCCTCGCCGCCAAGGTGCTAGCGGGTCAGGTCAAGCTTCATATAGTCTCTTCTCTGTGCCCCCCAAACAATCTCCCTGGAGGAAACACAGAGCACACATGCATACATGTAGGAATGAGGGCAAGACCGAATGAGTAAAGCCGAAAGGGGACTAGTAACCACTAGTAATCACACATAGGACAAAATGTGAAAGAGTTATCATCTCCGCATTGATCTCAGACCTTGACTAAGGCTGTGCTATCTTCCAGGCACCGGAGGGGGCGGGGGCGGGCATGGGTACCTGGCCAAAATACCAGATGTGCAGAGGACCAGGCTCCCCCACATTCTCATTCAGGTTGGGGGATTTGAGAGGCTCTAGAGTTTGAGCCCTAGGCAAGTCTCACTGTTGCCTCCAGTCCTGAAGACCTCTCTCAACTCCCTTGACGCCTACGCTTCACCCCCCCAATGCCAGCTCAGAGCTGGAGTTGGGAGCAGGAGAGAAGAGAAACCTGTAGGATCTTGGAGCCATCCTGCTGTGTCTCCCCTCCCAAGTTTCTAATGGATTTTCCCACCCAGTTGATGACAGCTAGAAGGAAGTTCAGAACTTTGGGGTTTTCCCTGGGCCCCGAATGAGGCAGATAATATGTCTCTTCATAGAAGAAAATCTGAAGGTTTTGTGTCTTGGGGTTTTTCTCCGTCTCTGAAAGCAGGGGTCTGCCTTGGCTGGCTGGAAAGCTGCCTGGGGGTTTCCTCTGCTTTGCTCAAGAATTCTGGGCTGGGATGTGCCCTTCTTTGAGTTGTGACTTCCTGTCTCTCACATCAGCCACCCACCTCTCTCCCCCCAGGCCTGGGAGAGTGGGGGCTGGGACACATGTCTGGCTGATGACGTCTTGGGGCAACAGAGTGGCATTGTTGTTAGAGAATAGGTCCTCACTGGCTCTACTCATCCTCTTCCCACTCCTGGGACCCTAGGGCTGGGGGCACCAGGCACAGAGCACCGAGAGGCCTGGGTAGGTGAGCTTCCCTGTGTACTGCTATGACGGGAGGACACTGTAAGGGATTTGGGCTGGAGCATCCCGGTCCAGGCTGAGCATAGGTTCTTTCCAGTCTTGTCTGCCTCTAGTTCTTCCTAAGATCAACTAGTGGGCCCATTCTGCCATCAGCTGGGGACTCTCCTCCATTCCCTGACCTCTGCATCTATTTCTGTTTCTTGCCCTCTACCTCTAAACACCAGGTGTCCATAATAATGGCTCCTCTTTGGATGGCACTTCCCAAAGGGAGTGAAATTTTCTGGAAGGGGACTTTCCTAGTCTGTGTGATTAACTAGACAAAGGAAGACACACTGGTAATTGGAAAATCATGGGATGGCCATGCAAATAAGGTCAGTATGGAGAGGTGAGGGTTGAGCTGAGGAGAGATAGGAAAAAACAATGTATTGAGAACCTGGAGGTGAATAGCTTCCAGCTCCTACCTTGTCTCGTGTAATCTCAGATTCAGGCTGAGGAGGTAGGGCCTCACGTCCCTGTAGGAATGAGGCAGACCCAGGGCCCATGAGGGAGGAAGAGGTGAGTCAGAATGTGTGCTGAAGGGGACTTGGAGGGGAACTTCAGGGTGGGGTCAGGTGCGGTTCCATGGATGGTCCAGTGAGAAGGTCTCTTTCTTGGGTCTTCATCAGACAGCCTCCTACTTAAATCCACGTTGTGGGGTCCAAGTTGAGTTCTCAACTCTCTCCCATATCACCTCTCCCTCTGGCTCAAATTTTTTTCACTTCTTGATAATCATTGCATTCAACATTTGAGCATACGACACTTCACTAGGTTTGGAAAATGAACAGGACACATTCCTACTCTCAAGGGCTCACGTTCTGAGGGGAAAAATGTACCCAAATGCATATACACTAGGCCCTCTGCACCTGCAGATTCAATCACTTTTTCTTTTTTGGTCTGTGGTGCTAGGATGGAACCCAGGGCCTTGCTCATGCTAGATGAGTGTTCTCCCACCAAGTTATATTCCCAGCCCTTGCTTCAGCAAATTCAACCAAACCTTGGAGAGGAAATAATTTTTAAAAAGTTCTGTTGTTGCTGACATGTACTGTGTGGTTAAGCACATGATGGTCGTGTTGTTATTTCCTAAACAATACGGTAACAACTATTTACACAGCGTTCACATTGAATTGGGTCTCACAAGCCATCTAGAGATGTGTGTAAATTATATGCAAACACCACACCACTGTATATAAAGGACCTGAGCATCTGTGCATTTCCATATCTGTGGAAGTCCTGGTGCAATCCCCTTCCCAGACTGGAGGGATGACTGGATGTGGTTAAAGATGAGCTTGGTGAAGGTCATCAGAAGGGGACAGACCAGTGCAAAAGGGAGCACAGAGGAGGAAGCTGCCATATCTGATTTCAGCCCATGCTGGCACCTTCTCTCCAGGAGCAAAGGCAGGTATACTGGAAGGTTCTCTGTAGTTTTCTACAGTTATGTAGGTACATGGACGAACACAGGTGAACTGAAGTGTCTGAGAACACTAAGCTCTGGCACGCCTGAGCGTGCTCCACTCACTCCTGCCTCAGCAAACACACATCATCGACTTGCATGGACACCCGTCTACTTACACGAAGGTATCGTGGTAGTTAAAAAGATGGCCAGGCTCCAAGTCTCTAAAGAGCCACTTTCCGCAGATTTTGGCTTCCTCATCCCATTGCCAGGAGCCTCAGCTGGAGGGAGGACCCACAAGTGCTCAGTGAATATTGCTTCCCACACATGACTGCTCTCTTCTTCCTCTGTGGTCACTGCCCCAGGCATACCCCCCACCTCCCAAGAAAAACCAGGAGGAGCCATAAAACTTGAAGAACCACATAATTCAGTGGTAAGAGCCTGGGGCTATGTTCTTGGCCAATCTTTCTGCCTTTTAACCCTGTGTAATCTTCTGGCAATGATTGGCCATGCTGCCTCAGTTTACTTTTTTGAAAAAATGGGAGAATTAACCCAATCATGCTAAAGGGTGATAATGAGCAAAAGAGATATATTGCTTTGGAAACTGAATGGTGTGTTTAACAAGTGGGATTATTGTGATTAAAAAAAATACATAGCAATATAGGGCAACTCCTCAAGATCGCAAGCATCAGAGAGGCTGTGAACTTCCTCCTAGCAGAACAGGACAGAATCTACCAGAAGGTGTGTCCAACCATACTGTGTATCATTCCCATCTCCATCATGAAGGCACATTCATCTGAGAGGCTGTTTGGGGAGAAACCTATGGGATTGATGGGTCTCCACATGGTCCCCTCTGTGGTCTCTGAGCCTTCTTCCAACCCTTATTAGCATTAAGAACAGTGATGGCGAAATGGCTAATGGGGCACTCATCCCAGCTCTGCCTCTGGCTTGGTTGGACAAATCACATCAGAGCTCTGGGACTCTGTCACATGAACAGATTAGACTCAATTTCTGGGGACTTTCTAATCTTAATCTTCTGATTTGAGCTTTTCCTCAAGACTGTCTGTATTCTGCTGTTTTCCCCAGCACTAAAAACAAAACTTGACTTGTGTACATGGAACACACAGATATATAAGTACATGAGAACCAAGAGAGGAGTGTGGGGTCCAGGGGCAGAGAGGAGGGAAGTCAAAGATCCTCACTTGGTGGCCTGAGTGGAAAATCATTGACTTGTCTTCTCAGAAAAAAAAAAAAAAAAGGACCCGGTTTTGTGCCAGGAACCCCATAGATAGGTTCTACAATCAATATTGAGTGTAGACTTCAATTTTATAATTAATTGAACAGCAAAACAAAAAATTCTAGAACCTGAAAACACCTTTCCTAGTGTGATAATTTCAGATTTGCTCTATAATTCTTTTTGCTACTTAACCAGTGGGAGCTTAAATGGCTTCATTTTTGTTTCTTCCTTAGTTGAGTATTTAATGATCTGTTAAGACAACATTTTGTATGTATGGCAAATTTCTAATTCTCTTTCATGTGAAGAATCCTTTTTTTTTTTTTTTAAATGGATCATGAACACTTGTAACTGGAAGTCAGGGTTTCTCCACCTTGGCATGATTAACATTTGGGGCAGGGTAGCTCTCTGATGGGTGCCATCCTGTATGGGATGTTTAGTAGCATCCCTTCCCTCTGCCAGGAGCACATCCCTGTTCCTCAGTAGTGATCTAAACTCCTCTGATGGGCTGCCATTGGAGAATCTACAAGCATCTTTGATGCTCTTTGCACTTTTCTTATGGAGCCTGAGGATCCTCAGAGATTTGGGGGTCTGCCTCCACACTACAAACAACCAGAACTTGGGCTTTCTCTGCTGTCCCCTGGTGGCCCCATTTTATTATTACAAGTAATGTCTCTCCCTGATACCATGGAACCCATTCTCACGCCTACCCAACTTTTTGTTGGATTCTGGAGTTTGCAATCAGAAGAGGCGATTTTCCAAAACACTTTGCTGGGTTGGATTATAAGTTGTTTCTTCACCCAGAATGTGCTCTGGTTAGGTTATCAGATAAAATCCAGGATACCCAGTTCAAGGTAAATCTCAGATTAACAAAGAGTAAATTATTAGTGTTAGAGTATCACAAATATTGCATGGGATATATTTTTAAAAAATAGTTATGGATGTAAAATTAAAAATTAACTGAGCATCTTGTATTTTTACTTTACAAATCTGGCAAACCTAGGTTCTCTCCAGTCCCACTAGAATATCTACAGAAGCAAGAAAAGGAAGATATAGGGATTGGAGGCTTGAGGGGGGACGTCTGCAGGCTTCAGAGATGAATAGGGCCCTTTCCTTGGGGCCTAGGAATAGACAGATGCTAATTACAACCCAAAGAATGAGATGCCGGAATAAAAGTAAAGCCAAAGGAGAGAGTAAAGAATATGCTGGGGAGGGTGTGTATATGTGAGTGTGCCCCATTGTAGTGCAGGTTCTGAATATCTACAGAAGAGGATTTGGGCAAATGGCCGGAGGGGTGGTGGTGATGGGGAAGGAGGTGTAGGAAGCTTTTCTGTAGCTGTTTTTGCAGGCCAAGCATACTGTTTTTCGTTTAGATATATGTTTGCTTAAGGTTGGCTCAGGGGATGGCTTCTAGAGAAAATAAGGAGGGGCAGTAAAATCAGGCCACCTTTTTGGCCCTGCTAGGGATTCATCCATTGCACAGCTAGCTCTGGTGAGCGCCCACTGCATTCTCAGCTTCTCCCCCAGCAGCGCAGTGCAGAATAGACAATGAACAATTCAGGGCCCGGGAGTCAATTCTAGGAGGAGGGAGCCCTGTGGGCGCAGGCATAGGGAAATCCATGCGCTCTGTGGAGCTGAGACGTGTGTGGTGAGACCAAAACGCAGGGTGGAAGGAGTGAGTGGGAGGAGCAGCAAATGGAAAAATAGTTGTACAAAGACCGTAAAGGACCTCTGTGTTCCCTCTCCTTGGGCACTGAGGGACCCATCCGAATATGATAAGCTGTGATTGCAGGTGGCATTTAGAAAGGTTGTCTTGGCAGCCCCCGGAAGAAGGGGTTAGGGGTATGTAGGGTGCAGGGGCTCTAGTTAGGAGAATATTTTGCTAATCTTGGGCTAGAGAATGAGGACATGACTTAATGAAAGTTAGCAGGAGCAAAAAGGAAAGGAATGAATGGAGATGGAACTTGGATGCTGGAGTGACCAGCCTGGTGGCTGCCCATGTGGCCTGGAGGGGAGGAAGGAGCTATGGTTGGGGAGATGTCCGAGTCATTTCTCCTCTTCTGGATTACCCTCCCAACCCCAATTTCACAGTAGGTTTCTTGTAATCACACTGCTGGCACTTCAGGATATGAACTCCTGTTGATGTTTTCTGTTTGTTTGTTTTGGTATATCATGTAATTGGCCACATATAAATAAATAGGGTTATTTCATTCACTCCTATAGAAAGACCAAATGGCTCAAGGCTGAGAGAGAAAGTTGAATAGAAGGTAATCCATATGTCTTACTTGGAAAAAGTTGTGATTTTATGAGTTTTTTAGTTCATTGTCAGAATAATACTAGAGAAATCTGGAGAGTCATAGAAGATAATTTTCCCCTAAAGCAAGTGAAAAGCAGATAATAAAAAAGGAAAGACTAAGGACAAGAAAATACAAATTTTTAAAAAAGATCCTATGAATCCAAAATCAGAGAAGCCCAAAAAGAACAAAAGGAAAGAATGGGAACATTCAAACCTGCATGGCATTCAATGAATGAACCCTACTAATTAGATTTTCCAGCTTCTCTGCATCTATCATTGTTGGCCATAGTTTATATTTTCACAAGTGCTAAGCTCTAGTGTGTGCTGTTTGAATGTGGAGTTTCCTGAGCATGCCTGGATTGATCACCTTTGGTAATTTGCATGCACGGAGCATACTCAAATAGCTACTGACTTGAGTGATGCTCCTCAAAATTTTAATATGCACAAGAATCAGTTGGAATTTTCTTAAATTACAGACCCTGGTTTTCCAGGTCCAAGGGTGGGCCTGAGAGTTCATATTTCTTATCAGTGCTCATAAGATGCTAATGATTTCTTTAAGAAGAAAGGGCATAAAAATAACATGTGAGAAGAAAGAAGAGAGACAGGGAGAGAGAGAGAGCGAGCAAGAGAGGGAGAGAGAGAGAGAGACAGGCCTTTACAAACAAGCAGCTCTCACTTTTGGACTGAACCCCAAAGATGCTACCCTCAGGAGGAGGAAAAAGCTAGAATAAAAGGAATTTCTGAGAAGGTCAAATAGGCAGAGCATCACAACAGGAAAAAACTGGTTAGCCTCTGCATGTTGACTTCCTCCACAAACATGAGGGAGGAACTTCTTGTACCCCTAGTCCATGCAAAACAAGGCTTATCCTGAAGACAATCTCAGGGCAACCAGGAGGCTAACCCAGGACCACTCCAGAGGTAAACAGGTCAGGAGGTGAATGCATACTGAGTACAACTCCTCCCCCCTCACCTGATATGCAAGATAACACTAACACGCGCTGTACATTCTGGTCCGGCACTCAGGGTATGGCAAGCCAGTCATGACACTCTCCCACTGACTGGCCAGGTGAAGAAAGACTAGGTGACCTTTGCTCTGCCATGGTCCCACCTGCCTGGGTCAAGGGCCTTGGGGTCCATCAGATACAGGTTCTGAAGGACAAAGCCTCACCACTTGATCCACCACTGAGCGTGCTCACTGTCACCACTTCTCTTCTCCCATTCCTTGGTAGGATCTGGGAGTCTCCTCTCCTTCTAGCAGCCAAAGAAAATGATGTCCAGGTTCTGAGCAAGCTGCTCAAGTATGAGGCCTGTGAGGTGCACCAGAGAGGTAAGGATCAGAGCCCAGCACCCATCCATCTACTGGGCCAGCCCCGGACACAGGACTTCCCAGGAGAGCCCAGGACCTTGAGTCTGTACTGTCCCCACTCCTCTGCTCCATAGAATCCAGGTGACTCTTTTCTTTACAAATGCCAGGAGCCATGGGGGAAACAGCGCTGCACATAGCAGCCCTCTACGACAACCTGGAGGCCGCCATGGTGCTGATGGAGGCTGCCCCAGAACTGGTCTTTGAGCCCATGACATCTGAGCTGTATGAAGGTGAGGGCCCGTGGGCCCATCCAGGGTAAGAGATGGGGTGCACTGAGATATTTCCAGCTATCTCTGTAAGGGATCATTTGGGGAAACCAGAGGGAGCAGATGAGTGTCCCTTCTCTTTATTCCCTTCCCGGGAATTCTCCTTTCTTCCTTGTCGTCCTCACATTCCTAGAACACCTGGCTTCTGAAACCCAGAGGCCAAGAGGAAGAGATGGGGGTCAGCTGGGTCTCCTGGGAACCTTGAACACCCAAGCGATTCCAGTCCTCCATCCCAGTCTGCCCTTAGGAAGGAGACCATGGGTTCACTAGTGAGGTCTCTTCAGGGTACTGGGGACACTTTGTGACTGATGGCTCTCTCTGGGCCAGGTCAGACTGCCCTGCACATCGCTGTCATGAACCAGAACGTGAACCTGGTGCGCGCCCTGCTTGCCCACGGGGCCAGCGTCTCTGCCAGAGCCACAGGCACCGCCTTCCAACGCAGTCCCCACAACCTCATCTACTATGGTGAGGGCAGGGCCAGGCTGGGAGGAAGGGCAGGTGGACAGCCAGGTCGAGGCCAAGAGCTGGGCTAAGCAGGGCCTTGCCCTCAGCTCCATCTGTGGGGAAGCAGAAGGGCAGCCCTTACAGGACTTAAGGCCAGAGGCCAATTCCCAGGACCCTCTTCAGTGTCCTTCCTCTGGTTCTGCTGGACAAGTGCCCCATGCCCTGAGCTGAGATGTGGGAGGAGCAAGCAGGCAGTCACCTGGGAGAAACTGCCCCCTCCTTAGCTCATGACCCTGTGGTCTCCTGCCATGGATCTCTCTATGTCCCCAGGGGAGCACCCTTTGTCCTTTGCTGCCTGCGTGGGCAGCGAGGAGATTGTGCGGCTGCTCATTGAGCACGGAGCTGACATTCGGGCCCAGGACTCCCTGGGTAAGAGCTGAGATGGGAGGGGGTGTTGGGATGTGCCTGGGGGTGTGAGGGAGGACCAGGGGTGGGGATTGGGACCACCAAGGCCTTTAGACCTGGGTCCACATGCCAGCCCGTGTCCTCCCCAGGAAACACAGTGCTGCACATCCTCATCCTGCAGCCCAACAAAACCTTTGCCTGCCACATGTACAACCTGCTGCTGTCCTATGATGGAGGGGACCACCTGCAGCCCCTGGAGCTCGTGCCCAATCACCAGGGCCTCACCCCCTTCAAGCTGGCTGGAGTAGAGGGCAACACTGTGGTGAGAGGCTCCCCAGCCCTAAAGGGCCTCTCTAGTGACCCACATCCTACTTTGCTGCCCTGGGAGGAAACAGATGTTAATGCACATTCCTGATGCCTGGGTCCCTTTCTCAGCTCAGATTGGGGTTTTCCTCCTGATTTTTATCTTTCTTGTTCCTGTTCCATTTCCTGCCCACTTTCTCTGACCTGAGTATTGGGGATTTAATCTAGATCCAGGCTTGGTGTCTGTAATGCCCAGGGCCATGTATCCTACCCAGAGCAGCAGCCCTTCCCTTCTCTCATCTTCCTTCCTGAGCTCTGGAGAGGGTCATGGGGAAGGAAGATGAATTTGACGTCAGAGTGAACATGGCTGATGCTGCCTCTTAAATTAAGGGCCTCTGCCCTCTCCAGGGCTGCTCTCCTCCTGGATGTGATTCTGCTCCACCCTTTATGGCATCCCCTCTGCCTGCAGCTCCTGATGCTCTCCACCTTCCCTCAGATGTTCCAGCACCTGATGCAGAAGAGGAAGCACATCCAGTGGACATACGGGCCCCTGACCTCCACCCTCTACGACCTCACAGAGATCGACTCTTCAGGGGATGAGCAATCCCTGCTAGAACTTATTGTCACCACCAAGAAGCGGGAGGTATGGGGGTCTCCCCAGCAGAGGTGGCTGGCAGGATATGCCAGGGTCTCAGAGTCACCTGTTCTACTCTTTCTGCTGCAGGCTCGCCATATCCTGGACCAGACTCCAGTGAAGGAGCTGGTGAGCCTCAAGTGGAAGAGGTATGGGCGGCCCTACTTCTGCGTGCTGGGTGCCATCTACCTACTATACATCATCTGCTTTACCATGTGCTGTGTCTACCGCCCCCTCAAGCCCAGGACCACTAACCGCACCAACCCCCGGGACAACACCCTCCTCCAGCAGAAGCTCTTCCAGGTGATCCCCCAGGAGTGGAGGACTAACAGGGCAGGACGCTGCTCTCTGCTCTTTCTCAGTTTGGTCCCACTGCCCTGTTCTCAAATCCACATTTCTCCCCTCACATGTCTGATATATGGGTCCAGAGTCAAAGCACACACACACATAGAAACACCTCTCTCTCTCTCTCTCTCTCTCTCTCTCTCTCTCTCTCTAGGAGCAGCCTGAGACTAACCAGACCTAAGGGGTTAGAAAGGTCTGGGCTTGTGGCTGTAGGCTCCAGGAAAGATAGAGCAGATGCATGAGAGCCCTGGATGCTCTGAGCATCTTTTTCTCCCCTCAGGAGGCCTATGTGACCCCCAAGGATGACCTCCGGTTGGTGGGGGAACTGGTGACCGTCATTGGCGCTGTGATCATCCTGCTGGTAGAGGTGAGGTGTGGATGGAATCCACAGTGAAGCTGTTGTCCCAGAGATCCAGCCTAATGCAGGTCTTCAAGTGCCTTTGTGTCTCCCCAACTTCTCTTCAGATACCAGATATCTTCAGGTTTGGTGTCACTCGCTTCTTTGGACAGACCATCCTTGGCGGACCATTCCATGTCATCATGTGAGTCTCTGATCTCTCACTCCCATCCCTTTCCTCTTAGGTCTCCAGTTTCCTTCCCTGGATTCCTGACTTTCTAATCTTAACTCCAGAGATCCTTCTCCAGTGATGTGTGTCCCTATGTGTGCACAGGCTGAGTCTGAATGTGTGGGGACTGTCCCAGTTATACCCTTGCTGCCTGGTGGCTTGTATAATCCCAGCCCTCTACTCATCACCTCCCTTACTGCTCTCCTCCTAGCGTCACTTATGCGTTCATGGTGCTGGTGACCATGGTGATGCGGCTCACCAATGCAGATGGGGAGGTGGTACCCATGTCCTTTGCCCTGGTGCTGGGCTGGTGCAATGTCATGTATTTTGCCCGAGGATTCCAGATGCTGGGCCCTTTCACCATCATGATCCAGAAGGTCAGTGCTTTCCGCCCAAGCTTCCTAGAGAGAGGTCCCCAAACCAAGCTTTTGTAGAGGGCCAAATACTCAATATTTCAGGTTTTGTAAACCATATATGGTATTTGTTGCATATTCTTCTTTACTTTTAAAAAACAATCCTTTAAAATGTTGAAACCATTCATCCAACCAATATTAAAACCATTCAAAAGCCACAACAGGCCAGGTAGATTTGACCTGCAGGCTATGGTGTGCTGACCTGTATCTTGGGGCATGGAGCTGTTAGAATAACTGGTGCTAGACCTGCTAGCTCTGGATGGAGCAATTGCTGAGAGAATGTGTGATGTTCTCTTTGTCTCATCCCCTTTTAGATGATTTTTGGTGACCTCATGCGGTTCTGCTGGCTGATGGCTGTGGTCATCCTGGGCTTTGCTTCAGGTAAATTGCCTATCCAAAATGGGGGCCATGGAGGAAGGGGTTGGGGGGACCTACAGGGTACAGAATGCCTCTGGCTAAACTTGAGGGAGGGAAGGAAGGAGGGGGGAAGGCAAAAGTCAAAGGAGGCCGTGCAATGTCTGAGGATGCGATATCCCTCAGAGGTAGGGAAAATTGGGAGTGCTCGGGAGAATGGCTCTTGGGATCAGGAGGCTGAATCTTGTAGAAAATGTGGAACAAAAGAACCTGGAAAAAAGGAGAGTTGTGGGCTGAGATGGTGATCCTGGAGATGAGGAAGGCGATAGGAAGGCAATGTGCAGCAATGAGCTGGCCGTGGGCTGGTCATGATACAGTTGCCATGGTAACTCTCACCCCCTTGGGTGGAGCAGCCTTCTATATCATCTTCCAGACAGAGGATCCCGACGAGCTGGGCCATTTCTATGATTACCCCATGGCACTGTTCAGCACCTTCGAGCTGTTCCTCACCATCATTGATGGTCCTGCCAACTATGACGTGGATCTGCCCTTCATGTACAGCATCACCTACGCTGCCTTTGCCATCATCGCCACACTGCTCATGCTCAACCTCCTCATCGCCATGATGGGCGACACTCACTGGCGAGTGGCTCACGAGAGGGATGAGCTCTGGAGGGCTCAGGTGAGCTCCCAGTGGCTGGGTAGGTTCTTGTAAGTCATCCTCTTCCTGCCCAAGAAATGCCTATGCTCAGGTAGAAGCAGGTATTCTGGCCCTACGTGTGTTGGATAATTATTGCACAGCATGGAAAACAATGCCAAGTGTGCAGAAGAATTGGATTAGCAATACAATAGAGAAATAGTGGACTCTCCGGAAAGAATTCCTCATTGTTTTCCCAACACTGAAAACCTTAAATCTCTTCTAGAATACTCAACAGGAATCAAAGCTGACAGTGGCCAAAACCACATTCAGTCAATTTTGCTTCCAAGTGAGAATGGAAGTTTTAAGTTTTCTTGACAATATTTAAGTCTGCAAAATCTGACCCAGAAAAAATGGAAGTGTTAAAAATAATGCCATAAAAAATTCCTATCCTAGCAGAACCTATCTTCAGCCATATGATGAAGATGGGCATAAGACAATTAGATGAATAAAATCCCCATTTAAAAATATACTTAGAAAAGTATTGAGATCAACAAAGATAATTTCAGCAAAATAAAAACGGAAATTCCAAACACTAGAAGGCATTTAACTATGAAAACAGTGAAACCTAAGCTGACTAAATGAGATTTGCTCTGGGAAATATTTTCTCCTTGAAAATGTACTGATACTAGATTTGCAAGTAGGTGTTTATGTCTATAAATGGCCATTATGTGGGGTCAGGTTATTCTGAGGCCCTGAAGACTCCTTTCTGTTTGCTTCCCTCGTCTCCCTATCCTCCTTGGAAAAGATCTCTCCTTCTAAGGAGAATCTCCACATCCCAGCTTCACTCTGCCTGGCTTTGCCATGAATGTCATGTTGTTGGGTGAAAACGTGTGGGGCTCAAGTCCCATCAAACTCTTCCTGAGAAGAGGCTCAACAGAGTTCAGACCACCATTCCAGATCAGGGATGTGGCTCACCCTTCTGGGAAGCCATGAGCTGCCGAGTTTCCTGGCTGTTGTAAAACTCGTGTCTGCTGGGCCTGCCCTTCCTCCCCCATTCTTCTCAATCTACATTGCCTGGTCTGTACCTGGGCTCCTTTCTGACTCTCCCCTTTGTCCCCACATGCAGGTGGTAGCCACCACGGTGATGCTGGAGCGGAAATTGCCTCGCTGCCTGTGGCCTCGCTCCGGGATCTGCGGGAGCGAGTACGGGCTGGGGGACCGCTGGTTCCTGCGGTAAGTCATGGTGTTGGGTAGGCATCCCCTGAGCAACCACTTTTGCAGGGGACCCCTTTGCTCCGACAACCTCCGTCTCCCCAGGGCCCCATGGAGGCCTGGGTGTCCCCTAGGCCCCATATCCACTGACTGGATCATGACTACTGAGAAAGTGGCCCCATCAGGAGCATCCTAAGAGCTGGTGGACCAGAGTCTGCTATTTCCTGGGCCCTGGCTGCTGAGGGCCAGGTGTCCCATGCCCATGACAGTTTGCAGAGGGGAAAGGCCAATAGTGGTGGGGCTGGGAAGCAGGTGGATAGGAGAGAGGCATTGGTCTTGCCTCTCTTCTTCGGCCCCTGCTCCCCCTCACGTCCTCCTCCTGCGCTCTGCAGAGTGGAAGACAGGCAGGATCTCAACCGGCAGCGAATCCGTCGCTACGCACAGGCCTTCCAGCCGCAGGAAGTCCTCTGTTCTGAGGGCTTGGACAAAGACTCAGGGGGAAAACCAGAGGGGTGCCGTCCCTTGGGCCCCCACCTGTCCTTTCCTACACCCTCAGTGTCTCGAAGCACCTCCCGTAGCAGCATCAACTGGGAAAGGCTCCGACAAGGGACTCTGCGGAGGGACCTGCGGGGGATGATCAACCAGGGCCTGGAGGACGGGGAGGGCTGGGAATACCAGATCTGAGCACTCACCCTCACTGCGAGCATGAAAACAAAACAAAGCAAAACCAACAAGAACCTAGGGGTCTCATCTCCCAGGTCCCAGGGGGAAAGGGGCAGACCATGAACGCTAAGCACGTTGGGAATTACTGCTCCAGGCCTCCAGGATGCCTTGAGCTGGGCAAAGAGAAGCTGAGGCTACGCGGTCCTCACCTCGTCTTAGGCCTTCCTCCTTCTCTCATGGAAGTCCCACTGCACGTCAGAGCACTTTAAGGACAGGTTTGCCTTCTCAGGCACCTGTCTCCACCCCTGTGTCATAAGTAGGAAGGGAGAGAGTCCTTTCCAGGGTGCTCCAGACAGTTGAAGGGGGAAGCGCTGGTTTTATGTAAAGGTGCCTGGGAGAGGGAGACAGGCACCTCTCTAGGAGTAAAAAAGCTGGGCTGAGTCTCACCACCTTCCAATAAAGTCATTTCCTGCTCCCTGTCCCATGGGCTTCTGCCTGTCTGCCCGGTGTCTGCCCGCCCCCTCCTCCCCTCCGCCCCTCCTTGCAGACTGAGGTCTCGACACACCTGAACGTTCAAATTCCCTTCCCTTTAATGTGGTGGAGGCTGGCAGAGGGTGGAGGACTGGGGAAATGCAGCGTCCAGAGGAGGGTTGGGAGAATGCAGCAGGCACAGAGGCGGAGAGGGAGCCTGGCTCACATCTCGCGCATCCCTCCTGGGACCTGTGTCCGGGGCTGGGTCAGCGGCATCGTGGGCTCACAGCTTCCTGCCCAGACCTCACTCACACCTCCACTGAGCCTGGCTGTCTCAGATGCTGCCGGAGGAGCTGGATGTTGTGCAGCAGTTTCTTCTGGTGGCCAGCCAGGGTGATGCCCAGGGCAGGCAGGTCTCTGGCGGGGAAGGAGTGGGTCAGAGCTGGGCCAGTTTCTCTAAGATCCCAGACACCCGCTCTCCTGGGGCCTGGAGCTCCTGCCCACCCCGCCACCCCGGCTTACTCCAGGCTGAGCTGAGCCACATCGCTGAAGGTGCAGAGGCCGAACTTGGAGAAGTTGTCCTGGTAGCACTCTAGTCCGATGGCCGAAAGCCAGGCCTGGGGCGAGTCCAGACAAGGGAAGTCCAGGACCACAGGGTTCAGGAGGGCCTGGGAAGGTCTGAGGGGGAGAGGGGCAGGCAGGTCAAGTTCTCCTCTTCATCTCAGCCCTCTCGCCTCGGTTTTCTTTTTGACTTTCATTTACCCTCCCTGGCTTCCCCAGGTCGCAGCCCCAAGTTCCAGACCTGTCCCCCGCGCCCCCATCAGCTTGCAGGGTGTCTGGCTTGCGGATCATCTTGTCAAATGCAGCCACCAGCTGGTCAAAGTGAGGCCGCCGGGCACGGTCCTTCTGCCATGTGTCCAGCATCAGCAGATGTAGTCCAGGAGGACAGCCTGGAGGCGGGGGCAGCCGGAACTCCTGCTCTATTGCATTTAGTACCTGGGGATCAGGGGAAGCATCTGGTGACAGAAAGCTCTTGCTAGTCGCGGGGAGTGTTAGCAAAGTAGGGATGGACTGTAATCTGGTGCCACATGAGTCCGGGGTGGAGAGGGAACTCTAAAGCTTGGAATATATCATGATATCTGAGAATGTGAATGGAAGGAAGCTCTTGGAAGATGTGGGCCTGGGAGGGATCATGGTAAGCTCACCTCTTGCTCACTCATGTCCCAGTAGGGCCGTTCTCCATAGCTCATCACTTCCCACATAAGTATCCCAAAGCTCCAGACGTCGCTGGATGTCGTATGCTTTCCGTGTGCAATGACCTCTGGGGCTGCCCAGCGAAGCAAGCAACTTGAGCCCTGAGGAGTGAAGTCAAATGCAGCAATAACAATAATCCTAGCGAGAGTCACATTTACTGAACAACTACTCTGGACTCAGACGTATGTTAAGGGTTTCACACTGAACATCTCATTTAATCCCCTGAACACCCGTGTAGGGTGGACATTAGGATGCAGAAGTGAGGCATAAACAATATGAACTTGTCCAAGGTCACAGTGCTGGAGATGTGCTGGGGCCTTCTGGATTTGTCCCCAGCTGTACTGATTCTGGAGCCTGTGAATCCTCCACATGAGGGGGAGGGCAGGAGTGGGTGCCAGTTTGACACTCCTGCCCTCCCAAGCCCCTTTTCTTTGCCTTAGTCCCTGAGATCCTTCAACTGCCCCTTGTTCAGGCTCCTCTCTCCCCAACACACGGGTGAGCCTCCAACCCCCAGATACCGGGCTATCCTACCTGGCGCCCACCCCAGATTCCAGCTCACCCCAGAGCCCCTGCTGAGGGATGCTAAGCCTCAGGCTCTGCACTCACCTGAGGACTGTGGCCAAGACGGGCCACCTTGCACACCAGGTGGCTGTTCACCAGCACGCTCCCGGCGGAGAGCGCTCGGTGCACAAAGGCAAAGCTGGACAGGTACTGCATGGCGGCGGCCACGCCCCGCTGCATGGCCACCAGCTGCAGGCTGCTGAACTGGCCCTCCCGTTGCTGAGGGGCAGAGGACAGAGGTCAGCAACAGAGTGGAACCTGGGCACGCTGAGCAGCAGACACTAGCATGAGAGGGCTGTCGGGGGCAGAATTTGGGATCACACAGGCCTGGGAAAGAAGGATGAGGACCACCATGGGAGGTAGGGGGAGGGAGCAAAGGTATCGGCTGTCTCCTGAAAGAGGGGAGGCCCCCAAGCTTTCCTGGGCCCACGCACCGCACCCGCCTCCTCCACCCCAGCTGGACTGACCCTGAGGAAGCTGTCCAGGGGGCCGAGGTCCATGAGCTCTGTCAGCACCATGAGGGGACGGCTCTTGGTGACCACACCCTCCAGCCGCAGGATGTTGGGGTGCTGGAACTGGCCCAGGAGCGCGGCCCGGCCCAGGAAGGTCATCTGCAGGCCCTCGGCACCCCCGGCCCACAGGGCCTGGATGGCCACGGCCTGCTCCCGCCGTCCCCGGGGCTGCAGTCGGCCCCTGCGCACTTCTCCAAAGGAGCCTGCAGAATGGGAGCAGGTGGCATGGGGGTCAAGGAAGGACCGTGGGCTCACAGTGTCCTACTGTGTGTGCTTAAAGGGATTCCTGGCTAAGGAGGGCTACCAGGAACCCCCAGTCCCTCCTTGTCCCTGCAGTACCTGCCCCAATGACCTCTTCAATCTTGATATACGAAGGGTCAACCTCCCGGGCAAGCTCTCGGATGGCCTGGCAGGGGTCGTCGTATGTGGAGGGGTCTGTGTAGTACTTTACCCCAAGTCCTGTAGGGAGGAGTGGGCTCTTAGGGTGTGGTGCAAGGCTGGGTGCCCACATGCCCAAGACGTGCCCGCTTGCTTCTGGAAGCCGATGTGAAGGAGCCCCTCAACACTGCCAGGCACGCACCCAGCCCCCAGACCCCCAGGCCCAGTCCTGGTCCCTCCTCCTGCCCACCTGGGCTGCTGTACTGCTGCAGCTGCTCTGTGTAGCCTGTGCCTCGCCGCTTCCTGCGGGACAAACGGGTGACCTGGAACAGTGGCCCCATCTCCACCCCTGTGCTGTCCCCCCACGTCCCACTGTTGCACGGGGTTCAGGGTGGGGCTGGGGTAGTGGGAAAAGGCTGTCTATAGGGGGGTCCACAGGGGTATCCAGGACATGAATGGTGCTGGGCAGGTTGGGGAGGTTGGGGCACAGGGGCCTCACCGCTGGAAGATGACAGCCAGGACTGTGATGGCCGCCAGCAGAAGGAAGGCCAAGGCTCCCAGGATGGAGCCAATCACCAAGGACAGCTTCTCTGGAAGCTGAGAGGACAGTTCACCTGGGGGACCAGGCCTCACACATGAGTGTGTGAAAGCATCTCACTACCTTAGGCACCCCCACACCACACACACACACACACACACACCCCACCTCACAGACCCACCCACACACATAAACACACAACAGGCATGTGCACACCTGACTACAAATCCACACATACGCATGCGTATGCACGTATATACACTTAGTCCTGTACACGCACCCACGACCCCTACAGCCCTACACACACAACTTGCATATCCACATGACCCACACATTCACCCCTGCACACCCTCCCCAGCAGCCCCTGAGGTCAAGGGTCAGCCACGGTACCATCCTCACATCCTCCTTTCCCGGAGTCTCTGGTCCCGGAGATGCCGGGTCAGGGTTCAAAGCCTGGACAGTCTTGACCTCTCCTCAGTGTCCCCTTAGACACCCAGTTCCCATCCAGGCACCCCCTCACCTTGAGGCAGCGTCTGGAAATAGACCTTGCCCCCATAGGGGCCGTGGCCAGCAGCAGTCCGCGCCCGCACCTGGAAGCCATAGATGTGGCCAGGACTCAGCCGTGTCACGGTGGCAGTGTTGGTCTCGCTGGTCAGAGTGAAGGAGTGGGATTCGTCTTCTGCCTGGGGGCAACAGCCACTCACTGCCTGCACAGCCTGCTCCTCTTGCCCCTGCTCTTACCCCCAAGCTTTCCTCAGCTGATGTGGTCGTCAAACACATCCCCATTGCCTCATGCGACCCCCCTGCTCTCCTGTGGGGACTTCCAGCTCCTACCAGCCCTGCTGTGGTGCCCCCTGCTCCTTGCCCACCTGGTCATAGTAGCGGAGCTGGTAGTCAAGGATGTTCCCATTGGTCTGGTCAGGCTGGGGCCAGGACACAGTGATGCTGTTGGCGGCCCTGCTCACTTGGTGCACCACAGGGACTGCCGAGGGGACTGGATTGCAGGAGGGATTATCAGGGGGATGGGAGTCTCTGAGAGCAGAAGCATCACTGGTGGGTGGAGGGCATGGAGCTTAGACTATGGATTCTAAGGCAGCCTGATTGGAGGGCAGGTTTGGGAAAGGCGGGCAGGGGGTTCTAAGGAGTTATGGGAGATGTCACTAAGCTGGGTAAAGGGCTTACCTTCATGACTGGTGCTGACATTGATGGCTGCAGCGTGGGGAGGGTCAGGGCTGAGCTCAGACACCCCATTGACAGCCTGCACCTCCAGGATGTAGGGTACATGTGCTCGGAGCCCCCCGACTAAC